GGACAGAAAGATAGAAAAAGTGTTTGCGATAAAAAAGCATCCTTTGGCTCCATCTGCAGCCTATTCGGACACAGCGAATGGTTGTCAGAATGCTGGTTGTTTAGATGCGGAAAAGCGATCACCTTCATCTAAAATTGAGACAGCTAAGCGTCTTTACACTAGGTTCAGTTTTCTGAAAGGATGACAGTTTTAGTAGGTTGACAATAAGTGAGGAGACTGATGAGGTATTGCTGTGGCAAGTCCTAGTATAGCACTAATTTTATGATGCCTACCAACAGCAGCCCAAGTACTCACACACCCCTCGTTTCTGGCAACGACGTTACGCTCAAATGCTACAAGCATAGTTGTCTGAATAGTGAGTGAATGATAAAGTAGTAAAGAAGGCAAATTCGCATTGAAAGATGTAACAAACTGAGTGAGGGAGAATATGCTACAGGGGGAAATCGTCTCCTTGAGAGTGAACGTAAGATGGTTAGGCATTTGGTTGAACAGCAGTAGATGCAATGGGGAATTCGATGACCCCTTTGCAATGCAATGAGCCCTGTGTCCACTTTACTGTATTTTGCATTATTTCTAGTAGAGTGTGAGGCATCGCTTCATCTAGCACACCGTCTATCTATCCACCTATTCGTCCATCCATCCATCAATCCTGTATCAATCCCCCCATCCAACTATCCATGCATCCTATATCCACCCATCCATTTCTATCCACCCATGCATACATTTTTCCATCCATTTTTTGACCCTGCTCATTTAACTCTCATTGCCTATCTGTCCATCCATCCTGTATACGTCTATCCATTTATCCATCCTGTATCCATCCAACCATCCCTATTTTTATTGGATGAAAGGATGTTTTGACGGATAGCTGGTGGATAGATGGATGCAGGATGGGTGCAAATAGAATAGATGGAAAGAGAAGGCTTTAAAACAATTGTGGATAAGTGGATGAGTGCATAGGTGGTTGGGAAAGAGGATAAACACATTAATGGGCGAATGAATGAATTGATTGTAAATGGATGGGTGGATACGAGATGGATGGATCGATATGGAATGGATGGTTGGATGGATATATGGATGCGGGATGGGTGGAAAGATAGACGGTGATGGATGAAGCGATGCCTCGCACTCTACTAGAAATAATGCAAAATACATTAAAGTGGACACAGGACTCATTGAACCGAAAAAGAATCATCGCATTCCCCATCGTATCTACCGCTGTTCAACCCAATGCCCTACCCTTCCACGTTCAATCTCACGAAGGACAGGATTCTCATGTCTGGCATATTCTCCCTCACTCAATTTGTTACTTTTTCCAATGCGAATTTACCTCCACTACGCTCTTTGGCACATATTTTTACACAATGAACTCCTCACCCCGCCACGTCGACTCAATGCCCACCACGTGCAATGCCCTGTCAGCTCTGCGCCTCACGACGATGACTGAACTAGGTTGATGGAGAAGTGAGCTGCA